ACAGAAAAACAAAGGTTATTAGGAAGTAAAATGGTTCTTAGTTAATCGGGTGTAAGAGTATAATAATAATGTATTACAAAATACAAATAGCTACCGAATATCACCTTGGTTTACTAAAAGCAAAATTAGCAAAATATAGAGTTCAACTTCTAGAGCCTTCAAGGTCTGGTGGGGCGAAGGTATAAAATTCTTAAATCATTTGATTGATCGCTGGTGAAAAATTTATTTAATATACATATCTAGGGTGATGGGTTCGATGTAATGAAATCTGGCGACGCAAGGGTTGCGTTGATTGGGTTTCCTTCAGTGGGTAAATCAACATTATTAAATAAACTTACAAAAACTCATTCAGAGGCTGGCGCATATGAATTCACTACGCTAACCTGCATACCCGGTATTTATAATATTTGACATCGTGACAAAATTCTGAAAAATTAAACAGTAAACGCGACTTAGTTGTTTTATTCGTTTTTTTAAAGGAAAAATTGAATACAATGGGGCAAATATTCAATTATTGGATTTGCCCGGTATTATTGAAGGTGCTGCTCAAGGTAAATATATATATATGTATATTCTTTTTTTAAAAAAAATATCAGCTATTTCTTAAACGAATTCATTTGTGCTATAGGCAAAGGACGGGGGAGACAGGTTATTTCTGTTGCGAGAACAGCAGATTTAATTTTAATGATGTTAGATGCAACCAAAAGTAGTCAACAACGGTAATGCAATAATATCTTTATCTAACTATTCACTATTTGGGCAATGTTTGATTCGTAACGACTGTTAAATTTACTAATAGGGTATTGTTAGAACGCGAATTGGAAGTCGTTGGGATTCGATTGAACACAGAAAAACCCAACATATATTTTAAGGTATAAACGAGTTGTCCTTACAACAGTGATCCAGATTATGCTTATGTAACATACGTATATCTAGGTTAAGAAAGGCGGTGGAATCAGCTTCAACTCTACTATTAAATTAACACATTTGAATGAAAAGATGGTGTATAACATTTTGCACGACTTCAGTATCCTTCGACTATAAATAATTAAAAATAAATTCGATAAACACAATATTAAATATTATCTTAAATATTTTATTTGTTTGAATCAGAGATTTTCAATGCTGAAGTACTAGTTCGTGAAGATGTTACAGTTGATGAATTTATTGACGTTGTGTTGGGTAACCGTAAATACATTAAATGTCTATATGTAAGTTTCTTATTTATAATTCAAAAAAAAAAAAAAAATCAATTTATTATTTTTTATATAAATTTATCACTTCCCAGTGCTATAACAAGATTGACTCGATAACTTTAGAAGAATTAGATCGTTTGGCGCGTGAACCAAATACTATTGTTATTAGGTAATTAATATAATTTCTCTTAAACATCTCTAGAAATTTGTTGAATTGGTTAGCAATCATTCTTTTTAGTTGTGAGATGGATTTAAACCTTGATTATCTTGTTGAACAAATTTGGAAGCATCTTAACTTGTTAAGAATATACACCAAGAAAAGAGGAGGTATGGTATTTTGGTGGTCTATTTTTTATTTAGGGTACACTATCAGTAATTCATTTCATGTTTTAGAATATCCTGATTTCGATGGTGGGCTGATCGTTAGAAAAGGTGCTACTGTGGAGCATGTGGTTGGTATATTTAATTTTTATTAATATCCATTTTGTATGTCTTAGATTTATGCTAATAGGGGCAAATACTTTATTATCGTAGTGTCATGCTATCCATCGATCTTTAGTAGAGGAGTTTCGCTATGCTCTTGTCTGGGTAATTTTTTAATTCATGATTCTGTTAAAAAGCTATGTCTTTTGTAGCATTAAATTTTTGAACCGTTCACGTTAAAGGGTACTTCCACAAAACATAACCCTCAAAGAGTTGGGTTATCTCACATTATGGAATATGAAGACGTTATTCAAGGTATTTTTATTTGCAATGATTTTCTGAAATTAATAATTTTAATACAATTAACAGGTATTTGTTTCTAGTTGTAAAAAAGAAATAACTGATATTATTGAGAAGTGGCGATGGCGAGGGCTCCGATAACCTTATCTTTGTAAATTATTATTATATCAAATTTAATTGAAGATCTTTTAATATTTAGCCCCATAGACATTTATTGATAGAAAACTTTCAACAAAATTCCGATTAGATGTATTGATCATTTTTAAGATAAACGTTCCTCTTATTCAAAAAAGAGCTTTGTACGATCGTTAATTGGAAATGTTAATAAAGCGTTGCCTGACTGTAACAAATGACATTAATTCTTTTTAGCACACTTTGCTATCGAGAGCAATAAGTGCTAAAATAACATTAAATCATTTCTTCGGATTTCCTGTAATATCGCATTAAACGGGAGATTTGGTGAATTCTAATAGTCTTAATCCGACAATAATGTAATAAAATCCAGATATTTAGAGCCTAAATATCATGTATGCATAAATTTTCCGGATTAATGGTATTGTGGGACGTAATAATGATATTTCATTTGTTTGATTTTGCGTAAAAATTAGTAGAGGTACTACTAATTATCAATTAGTAGTGCGATCTACTAAGATAACATCCAAAAATCTACTTTGAGTGGACTTTAGACTCGAGGAACCTCTAATCAAATCATGTGACATATCGGATTTATTTTTTATTATTTTATTAATGTTCTCAAATTTTAAATATTGCTTGTAAATGGCATTGGATTCGAAATTAATAATTCTAGTATTCGATATTCATTGTTTCTAATCCGAGAAAATCTTTGTTCATTATTAACCCGTTAAACCTAAACTTTATATAGTATAATACGAATATCAAGAATTTTTCATAACAACTTAACCGCAGTTTTCAAGTTAAATTATCGTAATTTTTGTAAGATTCAAGCCAGGAACTTAAAATTGACTGAAATTTTATTTACTGGAACTTGCGTAAAATGTAAAAATGTAATTGTCATAACACAACCCAAAGTAATAGGAATTAACGTCCTTATTGAAAGTTAAAAACGGTAACTGAGTGGAGTGAAGTTAAAATACAAGTTATTGAGTTATCTATGTTGTTGATAGACATCATCTAATGGAGATAAAAGAAAGATCGTATTTTATTATGCTAATTACGTCTAATTTATAACATTTTACTAAACTCAATACTATTATATGGGCAGATTTGAGATTATTAATGAAATACAAGTTTTTTTTTTAATAAAAAAAAAAAAAAAAGTCATTTATTTTTGTCTCCACCTTTATAGGAAGGACAAATTAACACAACAAAATACTATTTATTTTCATATTATTAACATGCTTATCAATTTATGAAGGCAAATCTTCAATGTTAAGTGCTAATTATGCCAATTTTTTTTTTTTATATCAATACATAATATTTTGTTGCATTATTTGATATATTTTATTATTTAATTAAATGTGTCACGTAGTGACACATGGGGAGCTAGTTTGAATATTTTAAAGGTCATCGTCTTCCTCTATTATAAGGTTATTAGAGCTGGATTAGTAAATATGAAAAATCCAATTTAATAAAATTAAAATTAACATTAAACAAACCGGGAAGTGGTTGGGCTGCAGCGATGTCCAAATCCTTGTTATACTGATCCATCAGAGCAAGATCCACCGTAACTTCTGGCGGGGCAAGTGCTGGGGAGGCAACGAACTCAAGGTTTGGATTGCTATTGGTAGAAAAATGTATTATTTTATCGGGCATGCACGATATTAAGTAATAGTCACAGATCATGCAGTTGAAACTAGCCTTACCCAATGAGTTTACGGGCCAACCACAAGAAAGGTTTTTCGAAATTGTAATTGCTTTTTGCTGAAATATCATAATATTGAAGATTCTTCTTGCGGTGAAATGTAATAGTTTTAGCCTTGACTTTACGCTCCTATAAGAATAAAGAATATTTTTATTTAATAATTTTTACATAAATTCTATCAAACTTCCTTGACATTTAAAATAAACACTTGCGCATTATAAATAATTCGTGTTTAAATGTAACAAACCTTTATGTCAACCTTATTACCACAAAGGACAATAGGAATATTTTCGCATACGCGGACTAAATCACGATGCCAGTTTGGTACATTTTTATATGTAATTCGGGATGTAACGTCGAACATGATGATGGCGCATTGTCCTTGAATGTAGTAACCGTCTCGAAGACCACCAAACTTCTCCTGTCCCGCAGTGTCCCATGTGTTGAAGCAAATAGGGCCAAAGTTTGTATGGAAAGTCAAGGGATGTACTTCAACACCAAGAGTTGCTAAGGTAAGATTCAAAAAAAAAAGTCATGGTCAATTCAAGCTTAGGATCAATTTAAACATAAACACAAAAGCTTTTTTAATGTGGCATCCATTTATACTCACCTACATACTTCTTTTCGAATTCACCTGTCAAGTGACGTTTGACGAAAGTTGTCTTGCCGGTGCCACCATCACCGACTAAAAGATATACCGCGTAAAAAATATTGATCAAATATAACAAATATGGAAAACTCAAGAATCCTCAGAATACTAACCTAGAACAAGCTTAAAAGTTGGTACTTCTTGAGCCATTTGTTAGAATCTTTCTGTTGAAAGTTAAGCCGCAGAATATAAATATCACGAAGGATCAATAAAGCTACCGTTTTGGCAAGTAAACTCAACGCGTTTTACTCGTAAAAAAAAAAAAAAAAAAGCAGGAAAACAGGACAAACAAAAATGTAAAGGGATGGATGGATAAACACTTACCGTCTGTATGGATTTTTCTAGGGATAATAGTTTGGAAATGGCTATTTCTACTCATATATCAAAAGTGATCGTTTTGCATGCGACACAAAGTGACGTTGCCTAGTCTAGCTGATTTGGAATAAGTAAAAATAATATGATTGGCTAATCCATCGTTTGATTAAGGAGGTAGTGCAGTACGTATTGTTTTGCACATAGTGGCGCAATCTTATAATTTTTTGGTAATTACAGTAATTATTATTAATAATACATTTTTACGAATATATTACAACATAAAATTTTCGTTATGTTACTGACAGTACTGATTCGGGCCTTGTAGAGTCGTTGGATTTTTATTAGTGTTAACGGAAATGGCCAGTCATGTATTCCGTTAACACTGACCTCTCACGTGATAAAAACTTCATTACATGATATGATCTACAAACATTATTTTCAAATCGCTGTCTTTTGACTAAATAGATATATACAAATAAAATTTTATAATTTAGAAATTAGTAACAAATAATATTTATACTATTTAATTTTTTTTATTTTTATTTTATTGTTTTATTTTATTTTTTTTTGGCAATCATGCTAATACTTTATTTAATCAATAATTTTAATCTATGACTAAAATATTTTTATCTAGTATATATTACTATCTAATGATTATTGCTAAGTATTAACTTACTCAGTTACCATTT